CATTATTATAATATTAAAAATTTCTTTCATTTGAATTTTTGTAATAATATTTTTGATATGATTATTTGATGGTTTGTTTACTTTATATACTTATACTTCAATGTAATTAGATTATCCCTGAGTATTTCATTATCATACATCTCATCTAATAATATGAATTATAATTGCATTCTTGCACAAATTAGAGAGCTATTCGATCGAAGTTTAAATTGATAATTCATTAATTGTTGTTTCAAATATAATATTTATAGCAATATATCTATGCCTAATTAGACCTCAGGTCGTGAAATTCGTTAATTTTCTTTTATAAAAGCGATTCAGAGCAAAGCTAGTCTGATCGCTTGCAATTAACAGAGCCCAAAAAGCGATTGCAACGATTGCTCCGACAGTTGCCCATTGCCCATTGACCATGGCCCATTGGCCATTGGCCATTGTTAGGCCACGAGCTCGAATTCTGTGTCTAAACCAAGTGCATACATGTGTCACTCGAGTGGCAATGCGGCGGAGCGGCTGCCGCTTTCATATTCTCCCAGGCCAGGGCACTTCGCACTTTCGGACAAGACTAAAGCACTGAAGAGAGCCTTTGAATTTAGCCAGCGAATTGGCAGCATTGAAATCGCATTATTAACGCCTGCAGAGCTCAAATTGGCAGCGAGTCGGCGACGGCGAATGCGACGACAACGCCAAGCTGGGTGTGAAAATAATCTGTTTAACGAGGGAGTCTTACAAAAGACCCCAGCCTGGTGGCAGCAACATGCAGCAAAGTGGCCGCCGCCGTTGCTGATGCTGCAACTGTTGCAACTGTTGCAACAGCAGCAACAACAAACGAGCAACAATAATGACATTTGGCGCAAATGAATGAGAAGCGCGCTCAAATTTTGCACTCCAGAGCCTCTGCGGCTGCCTCTGCCACAAAAGGATATGACAGCAGCCAGCCTGACAGGTCGCAGCGGCACTGCCAGCAGCTCGGCTCTTGGCATTGCCGTTGCCCATAGGCTGCCCGGGCCATTCCCTTCGCCTCGCCTCGTTTCGTTTCGGCTTAGACCAGAAGCCACCGGGTCGTCTGGCTCGGCGCTGACATTAAAAGGTGGGAAAATGTCAGCAGCTCGCGCAGAAAGCATTTATGCTCGCTGTTCGCTGAAAATAGATATCGAAATAATTGCGGCGATAACAGCGGATCCTCGAAYTGCGGCTGTTTGTTTGTTTGCAGCCGTGGGTGCCGAAATGGGAAGATAGGGATCCATTTGCAATGGGAATTGATATTGTGAATGCACTGTTAAATGATCTAAATACTGTTAGATAATATCTATATGATACAGATTTAATATCTAATAAATATTTAAAACTATGTATTATGATTGATCTTGTTATTCCAATTATTAATCAAAGTACTTCCCATTTAATTTTTCTTTATTTGAAAATTTTTAATAATATCATCAAAATCGTTATTAATTGTATAGCCACAATCCATTGCAAATCAAGAATCAGATAGAAAGTTTTTCTTTTTATTACGATTGTCGTGAGGGCAATAAGAAGAAACTGCCTCAATGCTGAACGATATTTTTCAGGGTATTTGCTTAGAGAAGAATTATTATAAATATGAGTAAAATATTATTACTGATTATGATTATATGATTACTTTATTCTTATTATTACAAATAGTCTTAGTTTAGCATCAATAATTTTTTTTATTTATTTATATGGGACATTTTATTTTTAATCAATTTACTGCATTCAAAAATGTGTTTAACATTTTTTTTTTTAAATTTAGGAGTACAGGACACATTGTCCTTTTTTACTTAAATATAATTATATTTTATTGCACATCAATAATTATTTCTTTTTAACGAAACTTATAAAACTATTCTAATTGTCACATGGCTGAAATTGCCAATGAAGTTAAAGAAGACTCCATTTATTTATTAAACGCTAAAATATGAAAAGTAATTTCAAATTAGGCACTGACTACTTCGACTTGAATGGGGCTCTATAATATAGAAAATGTGGAGCAGAAAAGACGATTGAAACTGACTTAGTCAAGAAAGTATTCTAGCAAGAAGGCAAGATCTCTGAGTTCTTATATAGAGCACACAGGCGATGTGGTATAAAGACTGGTTTCAAGTCTCAAGAGGCAGCCCAAGAAAGAGGAGCTGCTTTAGTCCGTAAGCAGGAGTCCGACAGAGGAGTCTGGACTCGTCACCTGGCGTAAAGTATTTTCGCCTACCTCAACTATGTAGCTCTCAAGAATATTACAATAATTAGTATTATTCTCATTGCTATTATGCTCATTATTATTATCATCATGATTACTACGCTCATTTGTATTTCAATTACATTTACATGGAATAAATTTACATCTCTTACAAAGTCGCCTCCAGCACAGCTGCCAATAAATGTATGTGGCAAAGATCTTTGAACCATTGGCCAACTGCGATTCTCAGCCACTTAGCATAGCCGAAAAAGAAAGTGATTTTGTGGCGATCATGAATATATAGGTATGTATATGGCGATGTCCATTAGAAATCTGTGCGCGCTCAGCGTCAGACATGCTCCAGGGCACGTAGATGATAAATACCCGACTACCCTTGGTGGGCAAGGGGCTGCAGCGATGGGTGGGGCAGGGCAGGAGGAGGAAGGCTTGTTGTTTGGCCACCAACGCGCTGAAGCCGTAACCAAATTCATATGCATATGCGCCTGTTTGCTGTTGATTTGCGCGAAAATATTTGCCCAGCTGCGTAATTGAGCGACGGGGCCTGGGAGCCTAATGCAAAGATCGATAGCTTGGGGCTGATGGATTGGATTGGCGTTGGCAGATTCCGAGGCAGCTCACGCCCAACATCAAAACATCCATAAATATTTTTGTCGTTTTCGCTGCGGGGCCCCCAAAATCGAATTTATGGCACCCGCGTCGTAAAAAACCGTAAAAAGCTGCGACGCAGCGCATCGTAAAATTAAAGGCGAAAATAGTTTTTTGGGCGCTTAACTCGCGCTCTGTGCCCAAAATACTTAATTAATTGTCACTCCAACTTCTGGGTGGCCCCTCGCCGACTCGGTTTTTGATTTATGCACAGCGCGACCAACGCGCTAATCAGTCGCAATTTGCATGCGCAGTCGCAGCCCTCGAAAACATTTTATTTACTTTTTTTATTTTGTTTTCTTCTCATTTTGCAGCGCATAAAAATAGCGAATCCATCCAAGCGAATTTTTCGTTAATTCATTTTTATACCCTGAACCCATTGAAAATGGGAAATCAGGGTATAATGGTTTTGTTGAAATGTATGTAACAGGCAGAAGGAGGCGTGGCAGACCACACAAAGTATATATATTCTTGATCAGGGTGACGAGCTGAGTTGATTTGGCCCTGTCCGTCTGTCTGTCTGTCCGTCTGTCCGTCTGTCCGTCTGTCCGTCTGTCCGTATGTTTGAACGCGTCGATTTCCGAAGATATAAGAGCTAGAGACTTCAAATTTTTTGTAAAATGTTCGTAATTACAGCGCGGATATCGAGTTTATCATTAAAATTCGATAACTCATCCCGATCTTTTTTTATCGATGAAAAACCTTATCGAAAACCAGTTATAAAATTATATCTTCTACACCTTTATTGCTAGAGTCTCCAAATTTTNTGACGCTCGATCGAGGAGTCGCGGTTCGAATCCCGATCGATGCAACTGATGTTAATTTTTTTTAATTGTTTCAAAATATTTTTATATTTTATTAAATGAGTTTGGTATTTTATTTATATTTTTAAATACATTAAAATTGAAATTTCAGCCATACTAAATGAGCATTTTTATTTGTTGGGTTCAGGGTAGTATCTAGTCGAGCACTCTCGACTAGAATTTTCTTACTTGTTATTTGTTGGGTTCAGGGTAGTATCTAGTCGAGCACTCTCGACTAGAATTTTCTTACTTGTTGTTGTTGATTTTTTCGATTCGCCCTCGACGCATTGCGATATGTGCGCACAGTTTGAGAGTCGTTGGCGTAGTGTTGTAACTCGCCGCCAGATGGCGTCTGGTGTGCGGCCATCTAGCGGGCGATGGCGTGCGAGCAAAGGGATTGAGATATTATCCTGCCGTAGCGGAAGGGCTATTGTAATAGGAAAAGGACATTGCTGCGAGGAGTGTGTCTCGGCTAAAAGGCGGCCGAGGATATTTTTGTGAGGGATATTTTTGCTGAGCTTATAAAGGACATTCTTGAGTAGTTCACAGAACTGCCACATGTGGAGTGTTGTCCTCTTGAGAAATTCCCGTGCATGCA